TACTATTTCATTACCTGAAAAACCTTTAAAGGCCTGCAAAACAGGAACCAGAGTGCTAGCTAGTACCACGGGTAAGGGCACTTTGCCTATCCTGGTCCAGTTGCCCAGGAATGGTCCCTGAGCTCAGAGCTCACTTCTGATTGTGGTCCAAAGTTCCCCCCAAACAAAAACAAAACAAAAAAACTCTTAAAAAAATCAGGCAGCTAGGTCTGAAATGCTCTGATTCCCCCACATCTCTTAGCACCTCTTTGGGCTATTACAGATATTAAATGACTTAATTTTATGAAAACCATGGCTGGTTCCAGAACTTCAGAACATAGAATCAAATTTGGTTTTTGTTTTTTGAGCCATACCAAGTGGTTCTCAGGGGCTACTTTCTGCTGGACTCTCAAGGACTACGCTGAGCTGGGGGATTGAACCCGAGACTCCCATTTGCAAAGCCCGATCTCCAGCTCTCTTTTGAGATTTGGTTTCACTCTTGGCCACCTGTTTGTTTGTCGCTGCTGTTTAAAAACACATAGACATTTATTTTTATTCAAGTTTCTCCAAGTATTAATTGAAAATAATTTTTTCATTTATAATACATTTATCAATCAATATGTTTTGAAATTTAAATGTATTAAACTTACATATTCAGCTAGATGTAATTACATAAATATAAATAATACATTTTTTTCTATATAAAAATAATGTACTTAGCCACCTGTTTGAAGATGCAATAAGAAAGGCCGTGAAAAGTATCAAGTGCTACTGTAGATATAATTGAAACATAAATCCTACCCATTGAAAACTTTAAGGATAAAACCCTAAGATCACTTAGGAAAAAAATAAGCATGAACTTTTACTAATAAATCTGATTTCCGTTGAATTTATCAGTTTAGAATGCTAATTAAATGACCCCAACATTTTTATTTTTTTCACTTCTTTTTTCATTTTGGGTCACACCCAGCGATGTTCCGGGGTTAACTCCTGGCTCTGCACTCAGGAATTACTCCTGGTGGTGCTTGGGGGACCATATGAGATGCTGGGAATCGAACCCGGGTCAATTGAGTGCAAGGCAAATGCCCTGCCTGCTGTGTTATCACTCCAGCCCCCAACATTTTTAGATGACCAGCAATTACTCATAGAGCAGCCTTATTCTCTCTTGTCTTGTCTTTATTTTGACGGGTGCAGAGTTTAGGCATCTTTCCAAGTGTGACGGTTGAAGTCCACTTTCTTTTAGAATCTTAGTCTAACAAATAAGTTTGTGTCCTGTTTAACATCCAATCTGTTTGTTTACTTTGTTGTTACCACCTAGAAAGCCCTTTGTATTTGCTTGTGTTGAAGTATAGCAAGGGGCTACTTTCAATGAAAACTTAGAAATCCCTTCCCAACTAGAGGATGCGTGGGCCGGGCCACTTGTTTCATTAAGCACTCTTGTGCTCCCTCTGCTGCCAGAAAGTAAACCTTCAAGTTCCAGACCTCAAATATGCCGGCTACAGGGTTTTCTTGGGCAATGACAATGTCGATTTGTGCAGGAATCAGGACTCTTCTGAAATGCAGGGCCATTTCTCCCAAGGAGAACACGTTGCAAGTTTTCCTTGAAAGGGACCAATTCTTGCAAGAGAAGGATTTTTTTCTAAAGAGGAATAAATAAAAGAACTGAATTCTGCCTCTCTGCTGAATTCATTAAGACAAGAGTGCAGTGCATTTCACTCTACTGTGCTTAGAAGCACCAGGAGCATTGCTGAGTAAAAGATTCTGGCTCAGTGATCCCGGGGTGGAGTTCTCCTAATGTCTAAAAAATCCTCTCAGATACTACTACTGCTGCTCTGAAGATGAATTCATCCAGAAACAACATATAATTCATAATTACACAGGACCTATACTTCATCTCCTATTTTAAAGCCTTCAAAGGTAGGGACTAGAAAACAGTGAAGCAGATATACCAGATAAAAAGTGATTCTTCATGGTGTATTAGCGATCCAAAACATGGGCAAAGGGAAAGACCTATTTCTCAATTTCATTTCCTGTTTGCCTTATCCTGGTATGAAGACAGTGCCAGGTTTATGAAGCAGAATGGATTAGTACCTGCTGGCTTCTGTCTTGAAAGTCTTCCTCTTCTTTGACTGGGTTTTCATTTGCACGAGGAGTTTTGTTTGAAAAAATGCCTTTTTGTGATTTGCACATTTAATATTTTGTGATATGAAAACAAACCTTTCAGGACTCAAGGGAATGAAAGTGAATTATGCAGCATTATGCTTATGTTGGACCTTGAAGGAAGGTAAAAATACAGATTTTAATGGCAGTGCCTGGCTCTAATCTTAAGGGCTGAGTAAGCAAATGACACCTTCTTACTGGTCTTACAGAGAGGATAAGGTAAGTATTTTGCCTCCTTGATAGCATGTTTCAATTAACTCACCAACTCGAATCTGAATAGTGTGTTTTACTTTGTTTAATGTTCTTAAAATAAATTAACTGCTGAGTCAATGTAATAATTAAAATAGTCGCTCTGGTATTTTGACCAAAATTTCTCTAAATGTACAACCTCTAAAAATAGAGTGGAGGTGGATTGGACGGTCTGCAGATTAGAAGTTGGAATAAAATCATCTCCGTGCAGCCAAAAACATGGCAACCAATATTTTCTGTTATAAAAATATTTGACACGAATTTAATTTTCATGAAAGCTGTCTGAAACTGAAGTGAATAGCAGAAGTTCTCTTGTTTATTCACGGACCATTCGTACCTGCAAGCACCAAGCATACGTCGTAGGCACAGAGAGCCAACGCATGCTCTGCTAAACGAGGAGAGCTAGAACCCGGGAATATTCGGACGTATCCTCCTTCACCTTGATAAATAAATATTGCGCCCCCCCCCCCCCAACACCAGGCACAGCCTTTTTAGGAAACTGATCTCAACTGTCCACTAGAGGCTGTCATGAGACCAGCAATGTCACTTTAGACTCACCCCAGGTTTCAACTATAACGATAGTCGATTTTTGAAATGAGGGTGGGGGGCGGGTGGGAGTGGAGAAAAAAAAAGTTGTAGACAGGAGCGGGAGAGAGCGGGGGCGGTTGTATTTAGATAGGCATGCCTTTCCAAACGTGAGAACCAAATGATTTCCGCGCCCCTACACCTTCCTGGTTGACTCTGCTTATTTTTATTTCTGTAGTATGTTGGCTCCACACGACAGTTGTTTAAAAAGCTGACACATTTCTCTCGGCGATTCCGTATCCTGCTTCGGCTGATGACTAACCGTTAGGTCATAAGTAAACTCAGCCAAAGGTTTCTCAAATACAGCTTACAGTCCATAGTGGCGCTTTGCAAAGAGAAACTTGGGTGGAGGGATGCTAGCTTCTCGGGTCTCAGCACCTGAAGGAGGTCAGTAGCCGCCTACTCCGACACCTACTGGTCTTCCAGGAGTATGTGCAGTCCGTCGCTCCCAGCTCCCTTCTGCACCGAAGCGGCCCGAGCATGAATACACCTGTTGTTGGCCGGGCGCACCCTCCTTTGCAGACACCCTGTGCAGGGGGTGATGATGCGGAGGGGAGGGGACGCAGTAGGCTGGGGTGGGGGTGGGGGAACTGAGCACCATCCCATAAAAAAGAAAAGAAAAGAAAAACCAAAACAAACCCAATCGAGTCCAGAGGAAGTTCACCCAGCGTGGATTTGCGGGAACTGCCGTTGGGTGTTTTAGTTGGCTTTCTCCGTCTTCTCCACTGGTTACCTCATTTCCGAGTACGCGAACGATCCCCGAATTAGCTGCACCCATCCCGCCGCAACGCCGGGTAGTTCAATAATATCCAGCACTTTAGGTCCCGGGCGCTGCAGGCATCAGGAGGAGGAACTGCGGGGTGGGGTGTGTGTGTGTGTGTGTGTGTGTGTGTGTGTGTGTGTGTGTGTGTGTGTGTGTGTGTGTGCTGGGGTGGGGGTTGGGGGTGGAGGGACGTGGATTTCCAGCAAGCCCGTCAAGGTGAGGGTGCAAGTGCAATGCGGGCGACCCTCGAAACTTTCCCGACTTGCATGCCCACGCGATCCCCGCGGCCCGGAGGGGGGGGGGGTGGGGGGGGGGCTCCTGAACGCCGGGGCTACCCCAGGTGGAGGCCAGACAAGACGCTTCCCCGCGCGCGCGCCGGGGAGGAAGGAAGGACACCGCTGCGATCAGAACTCGCCGCCTCCCCCCCCCCACACACACATACACACATACACACGCACACACACACACGCGCGCGCGCCCGAGGAGGGGCGTAGGGGAGTTCAAGTCCGACACCCCTCGCAGCAGAGTCCCCCCCTCCGCCCCACCTCCCCAGGGAGGCCTGGGGTGCACCCACCCCGCCGCCGCCGCCGCCGCCGTTCCGCGTCTCCTCCAACAACTAGGTGCAGGGACCCGGCGGAGGCGCGCGAGGACCGACCGGTCACCGCTCAAATGACCTCATCGCCTTCGCTCCCCGCCCCTTTCCCCAACCTGAAAAAGCAACTGTCCCCCACCGGCCCGTTTCTCTCCGGTGCACCCCCCTCCCTCCCTGCCCCCCCCCCGACACATACACACAACACGCACGCACGCACACACACACACACACACACAACCCCACCCGAGCCGAGAGCGCGGCGAGCCTCGGGGAAACGCGCCCGGCCGGGGGCCGCGCTGCTCCGCCGCGCGCCGCGAAGGGTTAAGGGCGCGGGCCGGCCGCCGCGCTGTGCGCTCGCCCCGCTCGGAGCCGCTCGGCCGGCCGCGCGCCAGAGGGTGCCTCCCCCCCCCCCCCGCCACCCCCCACCCCCCCACCCCGCGGCGGATCCTGGAGCTGCGGCGGCCGCCGCCAACTGCTCCATATTTGGCTTCTATTACACATTTACATACTGGAGCGAGCGAGCGAGCGAGCGCGAGAGAGCGCGAGGGAGGCAGGGCGGGCGGAGGGCGGGAGGAGGGAGGGGAGGGGAGCGGGGGGGGAGGAGGGGGAGGGGGAGGGGGAGGAGGAGGAGGAGGAGGAGGAGGACGAGGAGGAGGAGGAGGAGGAGGAGGAGGAGGAGAGCAGAGTATACCGCAGACATCATTTCTACTACAGTGGCGGAGCCGTGCAGGACCTGTTTCACTGCAGGGGGATCCAAAACAAGCCCCGTGGAGCAGCCGCCAGCGCTTGCCGCCGCCGCCGCCGCAAGACACAGTTTCTCTCCCTCTGCCCCCCCTTCCCCACGCCACCCCAGATCCATTTACACTTTACAGTAAGTGGCTATATATTTTTCTTCCCCTCCTCTGATTCTTTCTCTCCCTCCCTCCTCCACCCCTCCCCCCTTATTTAGATTAACCTTCCTTTCCCCCCCCCCCACCCTCCCTACTCTCCCTGAGACTGGGGTGGGGGGGTGTGTATGGGGGGGAGGGGGCAAAAGCAACAACCAGCAAACAAACCCCAAACCCCCCCACCGGCGGCACGAAAAACAGCTGGAAGAGGAGCGAAGGAAATCGACGCGGCGCGTTGTGTGTGTGTGTGTATATATGTGTGTGTGTGTGTGTGCGTGTGTGTGTGAGTGTGTGTGTGTATGTGTGTATGTGTGTCTGTGTACATATACAACCTTCCCCGGCTCCAGCCTCCCAGGCCAACAGCTCAGCTCTCGGCGCCGGGGCGGCCGGCTGGGGTGGTGGTGGTGGTGGGGCAGGGTTGGGGGGGGGGGTGCTGCTGGGTGCCGGGTGGGTGCCCGCCGCCGGGCGAGGGGGCGCGCCCGGGCTGGGGGCGCGGGCTGCGAGAGTGGTGGCGGCGGCCGGCGGCGGTCCTGCTTGCGAGTGCGGAGAGCCATGTCTTCCTCCCTCGGGCCGGCAGAGGGGGAGGCGGCGGCGGCGGCGGTGGTGGTGGCCGGGGGGTCGCGCCGGTCCCCTCCTCCCCGCGCTGCCCGGGCGGCGGGAGGCGAAGGGCCGGGTTGGACCCGCAGGGGGGCGCCCGGCCTGGGAGCCCCGGGATGGGTGGATGGGGGTGGGGGGGAGTCCCCGGCGCGGCCCGCCTGGCCCGGGAGCGCGGCCGGGACTTTGCGCGCGGCGGGGGGCGCGGGGGGGCGCGCGGGGATCGGCCCTGCGGGCGGCCGCCGGCTTGGGCGCCCCGGGAGTTGCGGCCGCTTCCTGCGCCCGCGCCCCGGGCCCGAGCCCGCGCCCCCCGCCGGCTGGGGCGCCCCGGGAGTGGCGGGCGAGCGGGCGCTGCCCCGCGCGGGGCGCCGGCTCGGAGCGGCGGCGCGGCTGGCTGCCGGGGAGGGTGAATGAAGCCGGGAGGAGGGCACGGGGGAGGCGGCGGCGGCGGCGGCGGCGGCGCTGGCGCTGGCGCTGCGGGCATTGGGATGCGCCCCGGAGCCCCGCGGCTTCGCTCGCGCGTTCGGGGCCGGGCCGGAGCTGCCACTCCCCGGGCCGCCGCCGCCGCCGCCGCCGGCTCCTACGTGGTTCCAGCGCCGCGCGCAGGCCGGGCCCGCAGGGGGCAGGGCAGGGGGGCCGGCCGGGCGGAGCGAGAGAGGTGAGGCGGCGGCGGAGCGCGGCGTGAGTGTGAGTGCGTGTGTGCGTGCGCGTGTGTGTGTGCGTGTGCGTGTGTGTGTGTGTAAGACAGAGAGCGCGCGGGGTGGGGTGGGGGGGTGGAAGCGGCGCGCGCGATGGGGACGGGGGAGGTTGCCCCCTGCGACCCCGAGGCTGACCCTGCAGCACCCGACCCCCTCGCCTTGCCCCGCTCCCCCCTACCCCCCACCCCCCACCCCCCGGGTCCGCTGTCCGAAACTCCGTGCCTGCTTGCTTTCATTTTATTTCAGACCTCGGAGGGGAGGGGTGGGGTGAAGCGGGGTGGGTGGGTGAGTCGGGGTGGGGTGGGGGTGCCTGGAAGGGAGAAACAATTCAGGTTTTCTAGGGAGACTTGAGCAAGAAACCTGAGTGGGGGCTGGAGGTGGTGGGGGTGGTGGTGGTGGTGGTGGTGGAAGTAGGATGGGGGTGGAAATCCTGCCAGAAAACAGCAGGAGGGGAGGTGGGGGGGGGACCTGTAAAAATTCCGTTTCTCTGGGCAGGGTGGGGTGGGGGTGGGGGTTCGGTTCCAGCTCGTGGCTGCTCTTGTTTTGTTTTGCTTTCTTAGTATATCATCCTGGAGATAAGAGGGTAATATAAATACTTCGGAAGATTGGGAAATTGCTGAAGAGTAGTAAGGGCAAAAAAAAAAAAAAACCCAGTCGGAAGCTGGTTATATAATGCGCGAGGTGGCTAACGAGAACGGCGAGCTATTTTTATTTTGTTTACCGTATGCTGTGCAGTAGGGACTCCTCCAAACTGATTCTGTCCCCGAAGAGATTCTTAGCTCCCCCCCCTCTCCACTCCCGAGAGCCACAGGATACAATTAGCAACATGAGAAGACCCTATTACACCCACAGAATAAAAAAAAAAAAAACGAATGTCTTGGAGAGTGGCGTGCACCCCGCAGGCCCTCTTGGCCGTGCACGGGAATGTGTGTATGCAAATAAGTTCTCCTTAGTCGGCGCATCGCCCGTGACATTTGTGTTTTAGGATGCAGGCTGCTGTTCTTCCTATGTAAACATCGTCCTTCTAGGTGGCACGCGTCAGTGGGGAGTTATTTGATGGTTATTTTTAGGCACAGCCGTACCTTCTCAACAGTATTGGCGAAATCTTGTCGCTTTGAGTTTCTGAGAAGCCCTGCAATTCCTCGAAGCCCATCTTAAGCCCACCCCCCTTCTCCTCCCCTTTTCCTGTTTCTGGTTTCTTTGGTGGGTGAAGGTAGTTTGAGACTGGAGCTTTGGGAGGGATGTGGGGAGTGGGGGGGGGGGGGTGGCGGCACAGCTTGTGTGTGAGAAAACTCGCAGCAGCGAGAAGGTGGAGACAATTCTGCACATGAACTCTTGGAAAGGGTTTGCAGCCACGGAGGCGTTTCATCTCCTCTGACTGCCCTCTAACTGCGGGCATCAGTTTTAGCAGCTGCTCAGACAACTGGGCTGGAATGGCACCTTGTGCAGAGTCCCAGAGGTTGAAGCTTCCCAGCACCTCCAGCCTGCCTGCCTGCCTGTTCTCTTCTTGTAGATAGGTGTCAGTGGTGTAGGTTTTCTGTGCACTTACTCCAGCCCTGATCACTCATGTAATTAGATCAGGCTGCCATGGCAACAGACAGTGTTCCCCGTCCATTCAGGTGGGTTCGTCTTGTGCCGGGGCTACTCCAAGTGTTTTCTGCACAGGATTTGTGCTGCCGGAGCCAGGCGAGAGAGACTGCTGGATTTCAATGGCATCTTCTTTCAGTCATTTGAACCGGAGACACTGAATGAGGCTTCTAGCTAGCTACTCAATTTATAAAGGAGACCCGCAAGCTGTTCTTACTGGGTACAGTATGTAAATGCCGCTTCCCAGACAGTGAAAGGCGCTTGACAATCCTGCTGGTGTTTATTGTGAACAGATCAACAAGTATTTAGGACTTGTTAGAAACCTTTCAGAGCCTGACCAAAGCAACATTTTTCTTGCACTTTGGCGCCTCTGGCCTGGCAGGCGCTTAACCCTTTCCTGGAGAGCCCCCGGTTTCCAAAAATAAAGCCTGCTTCTCTGAAGGGTTGGTGCAGCACACATAATTTCTTTGAGAAGGCTATATCCTCGCTGTCACGTTTCAAAACGTTGCCTCCGGCCTAATAGGGCCGTGCTGACAGGTCTATTCGAATGGATTCATTCTCAGGTTGGATTTCTTTCGGGGCTGTTAAATGTATTTTGGTGTGTTGTTTGTTTATTTTTTTTCCTCCCTGATGAGAGATGCTGCAGGCCTGGAGCTGGTACTTGGTAGACGGTGGTGCTTTTGCGCCATCCACCACTGAGGTTCTATTTTGGGGTGATCCTTTAACGAGCATTTAATAATTTAGGCATTCAACTCTTTTTGCATTAGGGCATCACCTTGTCAAGCTTGCTCAGCAAAGAAAAATAATGCTGTTGGCAAAAAAATAAAATAAAAAAGGGAAAGAAAGAAAAAGTTTTTAGAAGGGAAAGAAAAGTAACTGTGATTGCTCGAGATCTGTCTCACTCAGGCCATCTGAATTAAAAGGGGGGGTGGGCTATTTTAATAATCCCGACATTTGAAAGAAAAGAATTGAGAATAATGTCTTGATTTGGTTGTGATTGTGCCAGTCAGTTTTATGATTTCATAGCCCCAGAACTCATTTGGCAAATGCCACTGAAGCTGCCTCCCCCCCCCCCCCCCCCCCCCCCCGCCCCCAAGCCCTCCCCATGGCCTGGGCAGTGGATTGAGAGCAGCCAGAACCCTCAGCTCTTTACTCAAAGGGTTGAGAGGACTTTCTATTGTTGGGCAAATGTTTGCAGAGGCTAACAGGATCCTGGCCTGCCCAGTTCAGCAGCAACATTGCTGCGTCTGAAGCAAGCTCTTATTTCTAGGAGGTGAATAGACTTTGAGAAGCAAGTATAAAAGAGAAGGCACCTTGGTGTTCCCTTGTATACAGCACCTTGGAAGTCCTGGGTTACATTTTGCAACAAACAGAAGATTGCTTCACTGGCAGTAAGATGGGTTTTTGAGTGCACAAATCAATTCGTGCTAAACCAAGTATGAAACATGGGCCCTGGCTGGGAATTCCTTTCTGGATTTTATTTGAAAAGAGTTTGGTCCACAGAAGCGCTACTTTTGTCAGCCAGATTACAGCTAGACTTCAGGGCCTCTGAGTCATCTTTTACGTGTAGACTGAAGGAAAAACTCAAACTCTAGGCATTGAATAGTCTGTCTGATGCCTGCAGTTACTCTTACATTTCAACATGCCTTACCCATTCGGGGACCCTGGGAAAGGCCAGTTTAAAGAGGTTCTTAAAATATTAGTAAACACATTTCTGTGGCTCCTGTTTTTGTTGTCATTACAGAGTTCAAGGACTCACATTCCTTTTGTATAATGTGCTTTAACATTTTTTTTTCCGTTCTGAAATGTCAAGTGGGTTTTACTTTTGCACTCACCTTGAATGACAGTTTTGGATGAGTAACAACACATTACATGGGCCCGTCTTGTTTCCTAGTAGTAGTTAATCAATAAACACCTTTGACTAAAACTGAAATTTCGTAAAGGACTGTGGATTCCTGGAGTTAGAATTGTTTGAAAATAACACGAAGTTCAGATTCTGAACAGCATCCAGGCCTTGCCTATGTAAAGTGACACAGTGCCCCAAGATGGTGTAACATTTTCAGGGGAAAAGAGGTCATTGGATTTCTGTTGCTTTATATTTTCAG